GGTTATTTCCTTACTATAAATCTCTATAAACTTCAACATATAATATTAATTTACAGTACCTGGGTATTTAAAAAGTACTTTGTCACTACTTACAGCTCACAGTATTTTTTTTGATAATAAATAAAGTAAATTCACAATTTCACAGTTCAAACAGGTTCACAGCTATAATGTATGTATAAAATATAGTCTTTGTTCACAGCACAGATTAAGTTAGACCAACATTCAATAGGTAAGATTAGAATTAGAATTTTGGTACTGAAAACGAAATGACAACTTTTCGATATTGTTGGATGCGTTAATAACTATTTATTTTATTCAAATATATATTGTGTTCAAATTATCAATCAAGTACGACCGGTTGTTTTTGCGTCTCCCAACAGCGAAAAATTAAAAAAACTGCGGTATCTTCCTCAACCAGTTTGGGAATTTTATCGCTAGTTCTTGAATCAGATGAATCAGTCCGATTCGAGAGGTTTTTGGATCGATTCAGTGAATCGATGCGGTCCTCCGAATCGATCTCAAAAATCGATTATTTTACTCCAAAGAATCGATTTTTCGATTAATCGATTTTAGATCGACATGCCTATTTCCTTCGTAATACGTATTGTTTATTCTGTGGTAATACGTTCTTTGATTTTGTTTATTATTGTACCGTACGATCCGGAGTGTTTTGTGTTAATTTTTATTGTGTGGTTGTATCCTAAATCACATATAATTAAAGCAGAAAGGTATAACGTGTAAAATGTCACCCAGTAAGCATTACACACAAAAATTCCGAGAAGAATGGCTCTCTGAAACTGATTTTCAAGGTTGTTTGAAAGAAGTAAGCAGCGACAAAACTAAGGCGTATTGTAGCAATTGTCGATGTGAATTAAATACTAAAAACTTATCTGTTGAATCCTTTGATATAAGAAAAATAGGGGATATGAAATATGGTCACGTGATCTGAAGCCAAGTGTTTTTCAAATATGGTGACAACTCCACCCACAAAAAATAGTGTTGTATTCATTTTGTCGATGTTTTCAGTATCTTTGTTATAGTAGATGTATTGTCCATCGTATATTATATCGTACATCGTATAGGTATACATTAAATAAACAAATATTAGATCACTACATTATTGTATTAGGTTAATTCTGTAATAATAGTTGTATTGAGATAGTAAGTAAATAAACCTTGTGTTCAACTCAGAATAAGAAAGTTTTAAAAATGTAATTGCTTTAAGATATGTTGAAACGACAGTCAAAAGTGAACGAAGAGATCAAGAAAAGGGCACCATGAATTATTTGAGTTTTAACTCTTTTCTTGTGATATTGTGGAACACGTATACGACGCGCACTGGAATATTTAGTTCGAGCCATGAGTAAACGTTTTCCGTACCAACACCAGTCCGAATATAGGCATGCAACACCGCGCTGTAGAGACAGAAAATAGATTGACAACGCAGAATTAAAACGCTATCCGTGGGACCTTGGGTCAACGCACGCATTTTTTTCCGCCTCTGCAGAGATTAACGAAACCACCAATATAGGCAATGTATTAGGTTTCGTATGATTTTTTTATCTAGCCCATGCTGTCCCACTACTGGGTAAAGGCCTCCCCTAAGTTTTTCTAAGTGGTCTTGTCCTGCACCAACTCGAACTAGTCCTCACGGTATGCGTCCAGGTCGCGTGAATTATAAAAATAAATATTTAATAACTTTCAAAGTGATCGTGAAACTTTATAGCAGCTCGGAAGTTAGTTAGTTGCAAGCACTAGTCCTGTACTTCCGCGCCCCGCTTTACAAACAGTGATCTGAACCACCAACAAGTTTTCTTTTAACTATATCTGCATAGATTAGCGCTCGCACTTAACTTCCGAGCCACCATAAAGATTTGACATTGACACCTTTCTTTCTTCGTAATGGTCGGTTACCAGTTCAAGTTACCATAAACGTGCGGTAGCCTGGCTTTTTATTATTTGTTTAAACATAGGGAACATACTCCTACCTTTATCTTAATTCATTTAGGGTTTGCGGAGAATGTTGTGTTCTTTCACACATAGTTACTAGCCGTCATCTCTTTTTTGATAATAAAGATTATTTATTTATTTATCTCAGTAATCTAATCTCTTAATCTCAATCTTTCGCATCACATGTTTATAACATATGACAACCAATTTCCATGCAACTTGTCTATCAATGGCGGCGGCTGCACCACTTTCAGACTTCCTCTTTTCAGACATAATCATTTCTAATTTTATTCTAATTGTGTAACACCACAAAAGATCAATTCTAAATACAGTGTTTACAACCTGCAAGTTCTAAAGACTACCACCAGTATCATAGTTGGTGGTGGATACTGGGGGTACACGAGAGAGTAAGGATTTGAAAAAAATGTGTATATATTATTGTTATTTTTTTTCTTGTTATTGTTATTTTGTGATTGAAATCATTTATTCGTGACGAAATAATATTAATATAGTAAAAAAAAATCTTTTAGACACGTGTTCAGCATGTTTTTTCCATAATATATCTTATATCTAAACAAGAAATAATTACTGATTTTATCAGTAATAATTTATAGAAACTCTCGTGTTCACACACTTTATGTTCAAAAAGAGCGGGAACTACATTATCATTAAGTTGAACCACCTCCAACGCTTGTTTACAGAACTTGTTTGTTTTACTCTCGATTGCTTTGAAGATGAAGCAGGAAACTAAAAGAAACATGAAAAAATCTATGTTAATATCTTAAGGGGTGGTGGCCCACTGCTCGGGACACAATTTTTTGTGTATTTAATAACAATTGCTCAATTGATGATTCAAATTTCAAATTGTGAAACAAACAACATCGTTCAACAGGCACTGGCTCCACGCTTTGAGTTCAATATATATTAGACAGTAGCTTATTAACAAAAAATAAACTTTACCTCTTGGGAAAATATTGGGAACCACATCATCCTTAAGCTGAACTACATCCAGCGTTCCCCTTATACATTCTTTTTCAAAATGCAAGGAGCATATTCTTCTTACTGCTGCTGGTTTTACGTTTTCCTGGCCTATATTATCAATCCACAATTTCTAAAAGCCTTCATTCTTTGGAAATCTAAAATAATTATTATGCATCCTTAAGTAGCAATGAAATAATATTGACCTCATAAAATCTTTTGATGAATAAAGCTATTATAAAATATTCTTGATTTACACTATTTTCAAGTTCTTTTTTTAAATGGAAGGCTCCCAATCGATCGTTTTTTCGTTTCACTAAATATACAGTTTACGTATCTAAAACGTTATTTGATCATAGGACTATATCAATATTATTGTTAAACTTTATATCGATAATTTCAAAACACGATGGCACGTAAGGGCAACACTATGTGTAAATCACAGGTAATAAGACAATTATATATATATTTTAATATATATATATATTGTATATATACATTAAAAAATGGCAAAATATTGTATTGTGCGTGGATGTGCAAGAGGTTTAGCATCAATCGGAAAAATAGACTGAAAATGACTTTTATCGAGAAAACTTAGCGATCGCAGCGCTACACTTATGGTGTCCATATTTCTGGGACACTATTTTCTACGGCGATCGTTCTGCTGTTCTCTAACCTTCATGTTCAAGGTGGAGCTTAAAGTCATAATGAAAACTGTCAACAGAAAATTGAAGTCTAAGATACATATGTACTTATATTTTTTTTACAATTGAGAATGAGACGGATATAATTTTGTTGGCAAGGTTCATGTTTGCATGATACACGTATAACCAAAAAATATATATGCACCTTACTGCTTGTCCTCTATTTTTCTTATATCTATGGTTGATTTACATTACCCGCGAAAAGCATATTAAAGCTGCAGAGCCATTTTCATCACGACAACAAAAATTGGTCTTTGAAATGTAACTATACAAAAAGTCCAAATTAAGCTTATTCATCAATATTCATGGTTACTCATACTTCCATCTTGTCGGTAGTTAGCCAATAGATCATATCGGAGTGTTGTGAAAAAAATAATTCAAAAGCGAAATTAAATATAATAAAGCATGTGCTAGCGCCACATTTTACTTTTATCTTAGAAAATGATATTGGAGATGGACCATATAGCTTATTGCTTGACGAGAGTACAGATATAAGTGTAACCGAATTTGGTTATTTAGTAACTACTAGGAATAGTTGTGTAATATTTTAGTCAAATGTCTCTTGCGATTGTCGCTTCATTTCTTACACTAAGAGAGTTAAAAAGTTGACTACTAAGCTATTACAGAAGCTGTAAAAAAGAATTTTCTTGCACATGGTTTAAATATCAAAACACTTTGTGATATTGGAGTTGATAATGCAAATGTTACGACGGGAGTCCACTATATGATGTCCACTATTGTAATGTATTATGGATGTTCACTATTTAATAACATAACCTCGTCACTCATATAATATGAAATAGTAAATAGGTACTACCTATAAATGTGGGTTGAGATACATTGTACAGAGATACGTTGAGAAATTTTAAGTGATATATATTAATGTTTTTCTTACTTTCATTTATTTACGTTGGGCAGTCGCGATTATCAGTAATTGGGCAAGATTATTCCCACTTTTAATATGCACGTAGTTTCGGACAGTTTTGAAGAAATAGGAAAAGGATAATACTGAGGAGATAAGGATGCAAAAGCAATCACTATTGGCTTGAAACTGCGGGGAAAAATATGTAACATGAGTTATATAGATGCTATATACAGACCGTTATTATTTATTGTTATATTAGAAATTGAAATTGGATGTATTGATGAGGCTTGATATAGTAATTGTTTAGCTACCTTGTACTGTTAAATAGTCTATTTAGTTTTTTTACCTTAGATTATTGTATATATTTTATCAATGAGGATGGAAGACGAAGTTATTTTCATTTGTTTTTAGGTTCCTTTCTAATTTAGCATTTATACATAATGAGTAAGCGAAAAAATCCTTGTGAATCAGAAAACTTAAATGCAGATTTTTGCGAGTTTTTAATGGAACTAGCGGAATACGAAAAAAATGTAAGCCGTAACATACACAAATTTAATGCATACAGAAAGGCAGCGGGAGTATTAGCATCGCTTTCAAAGAGAATTGAATCTGGTGAAGAGGCAAAAAAATTAAATGGTATTGGAGAAAAAATTGCAAAGAAAATTGATGAGTTTATTCGTACAGGAAAATTGAAAAAACTGGAAAATATACATCAAGACGAAACAGCACAAGCAATCAATATGCTAACACGTATTTCAGGAATAGGACCTGTAAAGGCCGCTGAAATGGTGGACAACGGAATCAAATGTATTGATGACCTTGGAAAATATAAACATTTATTGAATCATCATCAACTCATAGGATTAAAGTAAGTATACATAATTTTAATAGATATTGTACTATAGTTCGTGCCAAATCGATTGAAAAAAACGGCATTGACCGCAGACCTTCAATATATAGGTACTTTTTATATGTAGTACTTTCTTTATTTAAAATGTTTTTTATTTTTTATAATGATTGATATAATATATATTTATTAACTATTATTAAAAAGTTATGTAAAAGATCGCCGTAGAAGAAAAATCATCTATTGTTTTAAAGTACTTTATTAATTTAACAACAAAAAGCATTAATTTATAACACATATAAAGATTCGAGTGATAACGACACCGAATAATTCAAAAGATCTATCTTTATTTTCAGTATTATATAAGAACTTTATTTGTACTTGGTGCATGTGGGCCGGCCCAAAAAAAGTGACGCATCTCTGGCTGCCATTGTGACGTTTCTTTTAGAATGAACTGACGTAACGCGCGTTTTGTTTATTTTAAAGGGATGAATTTGCAAAAGCTCAATACGGTGATTACATTGCTTCAAATATTTTTTTATATGAAACTGTTATTAAATTAATTGCTGCGTTACTTACCATAAATTAAAATGTAAAATATAACAATTTTTTCGCGATGAACCGTAAGATTTTACGATAGGAACCACAGACAATATTATTTAAGAAACAAAAAACAAAACATATATGCTGACCTAGAAGTGTGAATAATATCAATATTTAAATATTGTTCTCACATCTCTAAATTGAGATTTTGTAAGTTACACCTTTTGATACTCGGCTCATATCTGATCATCTGGTCATCGTCCGTTTTTCTCAATCCATTTGGCACGAACTATAGCGGCATAGCGCTAGCATGGGCATAATAAAAATTGTAAACATTAATATATATCCGATAAACGTAAAGTATCATTCTTTACGTTTATCGAATATTTATAATAGGTATTTTATCAATTCAACGAGACGAGGCTGCTTGCGTTCATAGGAAATACTTGAAATCTGAATCCCTACACGTGACCCCGGGTAGTGCTAAACGAGCAGCACCTATTCCGATGGTAGGTTTCGGCCGCTGGCTTTTTTGGTTACCACCCAATGCAGTCTTGTTGCCAAATGACGTTGTTGTGTTCCGACATGATGCTTGGTGAAGCCATATGGAGAATGGGTCTGAATAGTAGCGTTGTGTCTATGAACCGGGTGCGAAGCTTGAGTTGTTGCTGTCTTGGGTGCTTGATTGTGGAGGATAGCGGGATCCAAATCACGGTGTTTCGCTGACCGACCGCAGGCAGTCGGGGGCCCAATTAGTGAATTAGCAACTCATGAAAGGCTGCCATGCCAACTAGCAAAAAATCCCAGGATGTGGCTCCATCGTGCCGGCTAGCAACCGGCTGAGGGGGTTTGGGGTTCGGGCGTCCTCGCAGTCTCCAGATCAAGTTCCCACGGGCGCAGTGACTCTGGTAGTGTCGTTTGGTTGCTAATGCAACGCCTCGTTAAACTACCATTCTCCATCAATATTCACTCCTTAACTCGGTAATATGTGTCTAAAAAAGCAAAGTATGGCTAAACAGCGGTTGCACGTCCTCTTATTAAAAGTGCACCTCACTAATATTCGGGGATTGCACTCTGATCTCAGTGCAGTCCATCACCATCTTAACACTAAGAAGCTGCACCTACTTTTCTTGATGGAGACCTAAATTGGATATCCATTGAATACGCTACCTAGACTATCCTGGATTCTCCCTGGACCAAAAATTTCATTTACATGCCGACATCTGTTTCCAGCATCTCGGTCACCTTGAAGATCCCACTTTTTCGACAATCTGGGTGATGGCAGAAACAGGTATTGAAAAAACCCTTTATGCCTATATTTATCGATCGCACAGCGGTGACCACGACACAACACGATTATTTAGTCACCTTAGTGAGGCTGCTGATGTGGCCCTAAATCGGTATCCTTCTGCACAGCTGATCTTACTGGGGGACTTTAACGCCTGTCACCAAGACTGGCTGTTCCCATACCAGAAGACCGACCATGCAGGAAGAGAAGCGTGAAACTTTGCCTTGACGCTAGGTCTTTCTCAGCTGCTAAAGGAAGTGGCTAGGGTACCCGATGTAGACGGTCACTCAGCCTTCTTTTTGCTTGGACCTTCTGCTGACTACCGAACGAGACAGGTATGAAGTACAGGTTACCTCCCCTTTGGGTACATCTGACCACTGTCTGGTGAAATCTGTATCGTCATGTTCTCCATCTGATTACGGGTCCCAAGGTGTTCGACGAATATGGGTACAAGTCAGCTGATTGGGATGAGATGCGACACTTTTTTGCATCCTATCCTTGACGATAGGTCTATTTCTCTTCTGCAGATCCGTCTAATTGCACGGATTCGATAACCGATGTGTCGCGTCAAACTATGGAGTATTTTATCCCTTTTTCTGACGCTTCTACCACTCTCTCCGGCCTAGGGTGTCTCTTGCCAAAGCGGTCGAGACCGAGACAAACAAACATCTGTCACAACAGTGTAGGCCACACTGCCTCTGCTGGTAAACCTGGATGGCACACTGGCACATACGGCTAAAGAGGAAGCGGGCTTGTTCGCATCTCTATTTGCCTACAATTCGCGTCTGGACAGTAGCAACAACATACCACCTAAATTACCTCACTACCGGACCACTATGTCAGAGGTTCGTTTCACAAATAATACTCTAAAAAAATCAATTTTTTTCATAATGATAAATAACGTTATGATATTTTAATCGAAAATGCTTGTAACATAAGTTGAGACTACCTAGAAGGATAATAAAATATTTGTATCAGGCAACCCCGCTCTTTCGTAACCCTTGCGTACTGAGAAACTAAATAAAACTAAACATTGAATAAAACTAAGTTTTCGGATTATACCGGAGGGATCTGTGACAGAAAACATCTGGCCGCTGAGCTGCAGCATGTCAAGCAAGTGTTGCAAGACAACAAGCTTCGGATCCCGCACAGCAGTACAGTCGAGCGTGTGCCTGTTGTACTACCATTTGTCAGAGGAGTCACAGACAAGGTTGGCTACATCTTGAAGCGAGCTTCCATTAAAACATACTATAAGCCGCCGAAGAAGATTAGTCAATTTTTACCATCCGTCAAGTGCAATATCCCTCTACAAGATGCAGGAGTGTACAAGTTAGATTGTGAGTGTGGTCTCTCTTACATAGGTCAAACAAAAAGATCCATAAAAACCCGCGTGAAAGAACATATAGCTGACGTGAAGCACCGACGCTCCGGGAAGTCTGCAGTCTGTGAACATGTTCAAGATCGTCCCCACCATTACATCAGATTTGATAAACCACAAATCCTCGCAAAAGAACACCGATTCCTACCAAGGATGATACGCGAGGCTATTGAAATTAAAAAAAACATCCTAATTTCAATAGAGAAGATGGTTGGGTGCTGCCATCTGCTTGGGATCCTATAATTAACAAAATTAAACCCAAACCCAAGCATACCACTGCGAGACTTCAAGATACTGTAAGTTCGTTTTGCGTAAATCGGACCAAAAATTAATATTCAAAAACTGAAGGTAGCCGGGCTAACAATGACATTGGGACGTCAAACATCTCAGTCCCCCCCGTGACCATAGTTGCTGTAAAGCACCCGAAACGTCGGGAATTAAAAATAAGTAAAATCAGTTAAATAAACGCGATGTAATCCGAAAATTTAGTTTTATTCAATGTGTAGTGTTCGCGTAAATTTAAGAAATAATTATAAAACTAAACATTACATAGTTTTGCGTTAAGTCTCCCTTTAACACCATGTAGTGAGTTTCGGAGGGGTACATGGTTCTTGAGATATCCTCATACAATTCCTCCACCTTCGACGAATACTGTTTGGTGATTCTGAAGGTACGCAACCCTTGTCGATACACTCCCAATCTTTACAATGTTGTTATCGAGACTTGCGGTCGATAAACCCGTCACTTCCTTGTAACAGATGGTCGCCATCTAGGTGACAAAACACGTTGCCGGACTTCAGATAATCTTATAATATCCCAACGCAACTTGGCTATCACTTCTTCCATCTCCAAGATCTTTTCGTCAGTTCCCAAAAATCATGGGTTGAATGTTGTTAGGGAGAGTAATCTAAAGTGGCAATTGAACTTTCGCCGCAGACTCTTAGTGCCCCCTGCCCCGCCGGAAGCAGTTCGCCATTTCTTTGCGGCCAATTTTACACGCATAATTATCAAAGCATCCGAGCCCGTTAATTACCTGGGTAAGTGTAGTCTTTCTACTCGTCGCTGCATCCAGGCTTCGAAAACCGGCAGGATTGCGCCAATAACGCGTTTGCGTGCATAGCGCTCTTCGTTGAGTTGACTGCGCCATGTTGCCAAAGCGTTCTGTCATTCCTGTCGTTTTATGGACTCGAGTGCCTCGCCTGACTCACTGCCAACTCCCTGACGGAGGATGAGTATTCAGTTGTACACCCTCACATCCATATCCGCCAGTATATCTAGGGGTGGAAAGCGAGCCAGGACTATTGACGCCTCAAAGGATATCGTGCGGAATCCTCGCACGACCCGTATAGCCATCTTCCGCTGGACACAGTAGATTTTAGTTCTACAGCTTAAGATGGCTAGCCTTTTAGCCTATACAGGCGCCCCATATAAAACTACGGGCCGTACTACTCCAGCATAGAGACGGCGGACTTCCTCCCTCGGTCCCCCTAGATTGAACAGCAGTCTGTGCATAGCACCCAGCACCCTCTCAATCCGGGGTATTAGGCGCTAAAAGTGCTCTTCGAAGCCCCAGCGACTATCCAGGTGGAGTTCTAGGTACTTCATGTACCGCCCCACTCTAATTTCAGATCCACTTATGTAGACGCACTAGTCGGTTGATCTACAGTGGAATACTCCTGCCGGAATCAAAATTGGTTATTAGTCAAATTGGGAAAGACGCGCGGCAGATGTCCGTTGAGTAGAGTAGCAACTATCCTTTCGAACAAAATCTCGTCCAACAGGCATATGGGTCAGTACGCAGAAGGAGAATCGGCGGCCTTGCCTTCCTTCTTTAGGAGGACCAACTTTGCCTCTTTTCAAACTGTGGGGAACTTGGCACTCCGCAGGCAGGGAGTAAACAGCTGTCTAAATCTGTCCCCCAAGGCAGTCAGACTTAGCACTAGAGCCCGACTCGGAATTCCATCAGGCCCCGGTGCGGTGTTTCAGGCTCGCAAGCAGCTTACGGCTCAGTCCAGCTCTTCTACGGTCACCCCTATCTCATCTTGCTACTCCCATAATGATGGCAGGTAACCTGAGAGACTTGACCGGTCCTCTGAGAAAAGTGTTCCGATCACTCTTCCCAGCAGGTCCGGATTGAGAGTCTCTGTCAAGGGAGGCGATCAGGACCGGAGTATTCCCAAGCACCATCCTGTACGGTCGCCCCAGGAATATACGTTGAATCCCTCTAGGAGCTCTTTCCAGGAGCGAGACCTGGCGTTAGATATGGTAATTTGTAACACCTTTGTAGCCCCTCAGTATACCCCGTAGAGTCTTGCTATCTCCTCCGGTGGAGCTTGCCTTCTACTTCGGGCTATAGTGTATTAGAGCCGACTCTGCAAGCAGATGGCGGGATGTCTCGGTTGAGCTGCTCAAAGCACCATCGCCGAGGTGGCTGCCTTCTCTATGTCTGGAATCACTATAGAAGTGGCGAAGTGCGACATCGGACACGATCTGGCGGTGGTCCGCCAATGTAACTTCCTCCGTCGCAACTCGCTAGCCTGACAGCATTCGTATTGCTGGAAGAGTTGCTGGAGTTCATGTGAGGTCCACAATGGACTCCCCCTGCCATCGCACACATGAACTCTCAGACCCCCGATTTAATAGTCGGAGATCCAGATCAGCCACCCACTACAATAAATTCTCTCCTTTAGGATCGTCTCTGGAGTTGCCACAGGCACGAGTTATGGGCATTAAAGTCTCCTAGATTGGTCAACAAACGAGGTAAGCACCCGCGCACGCAATCCACCACCTCGTTCAGGTACTGTACAGGTTCAGTTGGAAGTGACATAGCAGCCCACTATGGGCTGTGTGCAAACAAAGCCCTGCCCCCATTGTAGGAGGACAGAGGGTGGAGCAACATCACCACCCCCCAGAATCGGACTCCGTAGCCATCTAGGCGATTCGTCGCCAAACCAGCGACGATGGTCGGGGACGGTATAGGATTCCGCTACTACTGCAAGGGTAACCCGCCACTTCACAATGGTTTGCATAAGCAGATGTTGCGCATTTTGGCAGTGGTTCAGGTTACCCTAGAGTACTTTGAGGGGCATCTATTTAGGTCTCCGCAACTTCCATTAACGAGTCGGAGCTCGGTGCCGCAACAGGTGCTGCTGCGACCGTCTCGCTGGAGAGGGTGGGAGAGTGCTTACTCTTCCTAACTCCCCTTTTTGCAGGTTGAGCGCATTTTTTCCTCAACTTATGGTTGAAGGAGAGCTTGAGGTCGGAATAAATAGGATATTTCAGTGCTAACGCAGTGCACTGGTTTGCTCTATGACCGGGTTCGCCGCAGACGTAGCAGCAGGTGCTCGTGTCTGCCTCGTTAGAGCATTTACTGCATCTGGTATCTTGAGCTGTGCATAGGCCTGGGCTCCAGCAGTTCCACTCGAGTTGAACCTCAGCCTATGCGTATACGTCCTTCATCCATTATTGTTCGGACCGCTGTTACTGGGCACCGTATCCATCTCGCTGGAGGGAGTTCGGCGAACATCTCCAACTTTAATATCGTCTACGGAAAAACCACCCAACTGGGCGATCGCGGCTGCTATCTCACTAGGTCAGCGTCGTCAAGGTCCCTCAGTCGGACGTACAATTAATTCATACGTTCAGATCGGAGAGGACCTCGCGAAATTTCGCTGCCAGCTTATCCGCCTTTGAGTTACAGTTAATTCCCGTAATCTCGAATAGTAAACCCCCTGTTACAGCTCGCTTTTGGCGAACGGAGTCGACTCCCAACTCTGCCAATCAGATCTTGGCCTTAGCTTCCACCATTACATTGGCATGTGTAAGTGCCGAGTCCTCGGGCCGATTGGAGGCAGATCAGTCACCAGCGGATGAGTAGGCTCCTTTTTATTCCTTACTCTCCGTTTTTATTCTTTCGCGGTTGTGGTGGTGATGGCAGTGGTTGCGACTGCGGACGACTTGCTTCCAATGGCGGTGGAAGCTGTTCCCATGTTGTGAGTGGCGGTTTGCTGAGGACCTCTCGGGAATCAATCTGGCCTTGAAGGCAGCCAGTTTTCTGTCAATTAGAGCTTCCCTATGTCTGACATGAGATTCTCTTCCCCGCTCCTAGACTTGGATGCAACAGGTGCTAGCTGTGCAGGCAAGATGGCCACCTGGGTGGTAATAGACCGCTCCTGCATCTGCTTGCGGAGGAGATTAATTTCTTCCATAAGAATTTCCGCCTTAGCTGAACTGGCAAGTTGGGAACGCAACTCTGCATTTTTTCTATCTAGCCTGGTGACGTTTTCGTTAGGATCGGTCCTTCGCGCGAGTTCTTCTGCCGCAGCTTTGATATTTCGCATAACCAACCCTATACCACAAAAAAACTCCTTTCATTTTACGGAAGCGATCGGCAACTTTTTCGAGAACCTGGAGATGAAAATCAATTTGATGACCGAGCTCTACGTCCCAATGAGAATGCATTTCACGGGCCAACGTTTCCGGGCCCGGAGTTTTCTTCGCCCCGGTGTTAGTGGGCGTTACGTAAGGATCAAAGATGTCTTCTTCTGTTTTAGCCCCTATCGCACTCTCTGTTCCAGAGGCTACGGCTGGGACAGCCGTGAATTTAGCCATCACAGCCGATGTAATCGGAGGCATCACTTTCCGTTTTCAACCTCGTCCCGATGTAATATTTTATGTATTTCATATTCTGACGGACCTTGACGGCACCGATAGTTCGTGGATGTCCCTTGAAGAAATAACATATTATATACCTCACAATCACAAGGCACATTAACGAACGATTTCATTTCTCGGTGAATGGATAACGCATCCGTTGGCCGTTCTCACTAGAATTCTGATGACTAAAATGTACGCCGCGATTGTTATGAATTTGTGTAATAAACTTAGGCGGACTTCGGAGGACCACATCTATCAAAGACGCCTTCGCAGGTTCTAAGCACGAATGTATGTGTAAATTATAACACACTCAATTGATTTTTAACAGATACTTCGAAGATTTTGAAAAGAAGATTCCTAGATCTGAAATACAAGAGATAGAAAAAAAGTTGAAGTCAAAAATTCTAAATTTGGACGGTCAATTCACAGTTACGATATGCGGCAGTTATAGGTGAGGCAATTATTCTTATTGACTTAATAATTTATTAAATCATCATGACAAACGCAACATCGTCTTATCGCAGGCCTTATTAACTCTCTCGCAATTTGAGCTTTATAATATTCTAATACAGCCGATTTCGCAATGATTATCGGCGTGTTTTCAAATTAATTATCTGTTATAAGACTGATTTCAAGTTTAAACAAAAGCCATTGTGTAGAATAAAGGAGCTGCTCATGACGCGCCTTGCTTTGCTACCACGCTCGACGTCGAACATAACAAAATTTTTAAATTTCTCATGATAACAGATAGCACTTTAAAAGTTAGTTAAAGTTACAGCCTATATACGTCCCACTGCTAGGCACAGGCCTCCCCTCATTTCTGAGAGGGTTTTAGGGCAAGGAAGTGTTAGCCGCGCTGCCCCAATGCGTGTTGGGGAACTTTACATGTCTTCTACTACTCGCTACGTAGCTGAGTTTGGATCTGTTGATTGACCTTTCATTCGAAGTTGGACTTACCTAGTTGGACAATTCGTCGTATGTTCGTTAACAACTTCGAGCGTGGTGCTCTAACAACTACCGTAAACCGCCTCATATAGCTGCCCTGTAACAAAACAACTATCTATGACCAGGGAGGTTCCAAAGCCGGCCATACATGTTGGCTGTGCGAAGGCGAGCACCAACGTATAGACAGCCCATTAATTTGTCCAGCCTCGCCAATGCTTGTCCCGCCGCGCCGAGTGCAGGAGAGCGCCAACGTGTATACGGTTCGTTTGGTGTGCCTTGCCGCCACTCGGGGTCGCTCGCTACAACTAGTTCACTTCACTTGGGAACAGTGTCGGTTTTTCTGCACAAATCAAAGTCGCTCGCCTGCACTCGGTAAGTCTCGTCCACATGTTAGTCGGCCATGTCAGTTACAGCTTTGCGTCCGCCGTCCGTCCCGGTAAGACATTGTTTTAATTATAATACTCAGCATCCACCACCTACTTTTCTGTCTCTTCTTTATAATAACTTTACTGCTGAGTCTATTGACATAATAATTAAATGCATTCATAAAATAAATATCAGAGCGAACTTTTACGTCGTCCATATCATACCAATTCTCAATTACGACTAATTACAGCCAATATGTGGATAGCTCCACAAAATCTCGGGAACATTGGCCTTGGCATTGGTCTCTTTCGAACTTTACCAATGTGTAGACTGCCTCTCTTGTATCAATTTGCCTATGCTAGCGTTGGCTGAGGCTTGGCCAACATGTATTGCCGGGGTCAGAACAGTTCGGCCAAGTTTCAGCCAGTGCGAGCGTAGGCAAATAGATTACAAGGCGAGTGTTAAAATCTACATGTTGGCCGAGATTGAAAGAGACCAATGCCAAGGCCAATGTACACGAGTTTTTGAGGAGCTATCTACATGTTGACCGTAATTAGTAGTCATTGAGAATTAGTATGATATGGACGACGTAAAAGTTATTGCACCTTCTGCTATTTATTTAATAAGTGCATATAATTATTATGTTTGTGTACTCCGCAGTAAAATTAAAAAACTTAAAGATTTATTTCTATACCTTTATTACGTTAGTAAAGCGAACTTAATTAAATCAATGTATCACTGGGACGGACGCCAAGCTGTAACAGTCATAGGCGACTAGCTTGTGGACGAGACTTGCCGACTGCAGGCGAGTGCCTTTGATTTGTGCAGAAAAACCGACACTGTTCCAAAGTGGTCGAGTCGTAGCGAGCGATCCCGAGTGGCAACAAGTCATGTCCAAAGAACCGTATACGCGTTGGCGTTCGCCTACACGCGGCTAGCTTGGCGAGCGTCGACGAGCAATTGCAAGGCTGGACAAATGGACTGTCTATACGTTGGTGCTTGCCTTCGCTTGGCCAGCATGTATAGCCGGCTTTAGTCGGCCATGTCAATGTGTTCACCTATTCAAAATTGGCCAACATGTATCAATTTCGCCTCGTATCAATTTGCCTAAGCTTGGGTTCGTTAAGGCTTGGTCAACATGTATTGCAGACTTAATAGAGCGCCTTTTGTTGACTATTGCACGAATCAAGAGATCATAGAATCGCGCGAATTTTCTAATACAATGTGATTATTATGCGGCTATTTCGTCAATATACGAATACGACCATTGTCAGTTAGACCACCTGTCTTTAATCAGTATGATTAAACGTGTGTCCGTACGAACTAGAAACAAACATACCTACGAGGGGTGATCCAAAAGTAATGATAATCGGTTACTCAGGTCCGCATAAAAATTCAAAAAAAAATATTTTTTGCTTGCTTATATACTCACTACGTCAGCCTAAAAAAAATCATATAAATAGATCACGATTTCCGGGAGATACATTCATTTAAATACGAACTGTCAAAGAGATAACATCAACATGGAGAAAAACGAAATTAGAGCTGTCATCAAGTACCTCTGTTTGAAAAAAATGTCTTCAAAAGACATACACAGTGACTTAGTGGAAACATTGGGGGACTCTGCTCCTCCATATTCTTCAGTTGCACGCTGGGCCAAGGAGTTTAAACTGTGCAGAACATCCACTGAAGATGAACATCGCGAAGGACGCCCATCCATGTCCCTCACTGAAGACAACGTGAAAAAAGTCGAAGATGTTGTGTTGGCAGATCGAAGAGTGAGCATAAGGCATGTGGCTCAGGTCACAGGGATCTCATATGGCAGCGTTCAAAGAATCCTTGCGAACGAGTTGCATATGAAAAAGGTCTCTGCGCGTTGGGTACCCAGAATGTTAACCGACGAGCAAAAGAAAAATCGAGTTGACATTTCGATGGTCAATCTCGAAAAGTTCCAAGCAGATCAATTTTTTGTTCCGTTTTGTGACTATGGACGAGACCTGGGTCCACCATTTTGATCCTGAAACGAAACAACAATCGATGACTTGGAAGCGAGCCTCTTCACTGACGCCAAAGAAATTCAAAGTTTCAAGTTCGGCGGGAAAGGTTATGGCATCTGTTTTTTGGGACGCTCAAGGCATAATTATGGTGGAATATTTGGAAAAGGGAGCCACTATTACGGGCTCTTACTACGCAGACCAAATAAGAAGATTACAGGAGGCCATTAAGGAAAAAAGACGCGGCAAACTGCGAGCTGGAGTGCTATTTCACCAAGACAACGCAACGGCTCACAAAGCCGCAGTTGCGATGGCTGCCATTCAAGAAACGGGATTCGAACTGCTCGAACACCCTCCCTATTCGCCAGATCTAGCTCCGAGTGACTTCTACCTCTTTCCTCGGCTCAAGGAACGCCTCCGAGGCAAGAAATTCGAAAACGATAGCGAAGTAATGGCCGCTGTTGAAGCGTTTTGGGAGGGTTAAGACAAAGAATTTTTTTCAAAGGGAATCCTGGGTTTAGAAAAAAGAGGGACTAAATATATTGATTTGTTAGGAGACTATGTAGAAAAATAAATTATTATTTTAACTTTAATTACCGTGTTTTATTTTCATTATCATTACTTTTGGATCACCCCTCGTATATGTCGCTATTGGGCATCAGTGTGTTTAATTGCACGTTCGTATGAACAAATATGTCCTGAAAGTGATGAACCTACTACGTTGCCATGACATTATTTTGTATTAATGCCATTGGCGTTGTACATTTAGAAGTATTCTCATTGTTTTAATTAAACTTTGCAATACAGACGTGGTAAATCAGTAAGCGGTGATATCGACGTTTTGGTCACGCACACTTCGCTTAAAGACGGCGAAAATAAGAAAAAACATGGGGTAGGAATGCTAAGAAAAATAGTTGATAAACTAAAAGACTTATATATTGAAGAAATTTCGTTGGGGGATACGAAATTTATGGTAAGTTATTACAATATATTATGTATTTTATTTACATAAGTATATTACTTATATAAAGAAAGGCGAAGTATGATCTTGCATAATGATTTCTTATACTCATTTACGCGATTTTTTCAGATTTTATCGTGTTTACTTTAACGTTTTAATTCCCGATGTTTCGGATGTTTCATAGCACCCGTGGTCACGGGGGACTAAGGTGTTTGACGTCCGGACCACAGAACACTATTACTCCGATAGTGTACATTAATGCTAGAACACTATTATACGATAGGAGTAATAGTGTGCTGAGGTCCGGATGACATAGTCATAGGACGGCCCGGCTACCTTCAGTTTTTTAAGTCAGTTTTTGGTCCGATCTACGCAGAATGAGCTACAGTATCTTGAAGTTTTGCTGTGGTATGATTGGGTTTTGGTTTAATTTTATTTATTATGTATATGTTCCCAAGCAGATGGTGGTGGTCCATCTTCTCTATTGAAAATAATATAAAATATTGAAAATAGTATTTTTTATATCAAACAATATCCTTGCGATTCACGCTAGGTAGGAATTCTTCGGTGGTTTTAATGGAAGCTCGCTTCAAGATGTAGCCAATCTTGTCTGTAACTCCTCTGGCGAATTGTAATACAGCAGGCACACGCTCGAACGTGGCTTCAGTCGGTCACTGTAACGTAGGTGCGGGATCCGAAGCTTGTTGTCTTGCAATACTTACTTGACGTCCTGAAGCTCGGCGACCAGACGTTTCCTGTCACAGATCCCTTGTGTTCTCTGAAACAGAGATTTTCCCACGGTACCTAACCGTGATGGATGATGGTAAGATTCACCGTTTAAATATCGGTTTGTATGGGTGTTTTTCCTATGCACAAAGTAACCAATAGTGTTATCAGGATTTCGGATGATTAAAACATCTAGAAAAGCTAAAGAATTATGTTAGAGTTTATGGAGTTGATGTCATCATCGGGAAGTCAAACACCTCAGTCCCCCCCCCGTGGCCCCCCCCACCCCGCGAGCACCAGTAACGTCGGAAATTAAAACGTTAAATTAAAAGCGATAAAATATGATCTTGCACTTAGATTTATTATTAAATGTACCAACTAAATATGTGCTAGGTATCTTTTTTATTCTTATAATGCCCATGTAAATGCCAAATTAAAACGCAAGCTTCCATGTTATTCCGTATGATCAAGGTAGGATAAAGCTCAATGTATAGGGATGAAGGTACTAAGCTGATAACGGATTTTTATTTTTCATTTCCATTTCATAATTTTACCTTGATTACAATTGTTTTTCTTCTTAGGGAGTGTGCCGCTTGTCAGAAGCTTCGCCGGCGCGACGTTTGGATATAAGACTTATACCTTGCAATCAATACCATTGCGCGGTTCTTTACTTCACGGGAAGTGATGTATTCAATAAGAATATGAGGACACACGCATTGGAAAAGGGCTTTACGCTCAATGAATATTCCTTACGGCCAATCGGAGCCACAGGTAAGACATAGTTACGTTCGGTGTGAGTAAAAATTTTGATTAAGGTGAGAAATTGACGTATTGTTTCACATACACGGTAAGTGTTACAACTAAGATGGCCAAATCGATAATTACACATCTCAGCTTCACCTGGAGTACATCCCAGGAAGATTTGCTGGCAACCAAGCACTTAGCCCTTGCGCTACGAAACCTTGTTTATATTTTTATCTTGTCATTCATCAATACGGTGCTATTGTGTATAGTGGAACGATAAGATAAAAAAAGTAGTTATGAATTGGTAAATACTATGGATTTTAATTTCTTCTCGCACCAACATTTCAGTAGTCCATACATTTTCTGCCGTTACTGCTGTTTGCGGGGCCCCGGTTCTTTGATCATCTTTAAGGTTAATTTTACCCCTTTTGATTCAGCAAAGCACCTAAAAATTGTTACGCGTGATGGAGAGGACCCCTAATGCTGATCGTAACCGTTGTAAACTAATTATTCGGTTAAACCAAATTTAAAGTCATAAGAAATCATAGAGGGCAAATGTTCACGGTTAAGATCCATCGTTTTAAATGAAAAAGCGCGGGAAGCATTGCAGGAAAATTAGTAGAACTTTATTTTTTTAATATTAAGCAATTGGCTTATGGAGGTCTATTTTTAAATAAATTTGCTTTTCAGAAACATATACACGGGTGCGTTCCATTTTTAAATTTCGAGCATCTCAAAAATTATTGAGTGTCCTACGTATTACTTCAAGTCCAATTTCTGATACCTTACCTTTATTTTTTGTGCTGTATAAATAGGCGTTCCAGGAGAACCGGTGCCGATTAAATCAGAGGAAGAAATTTTCGAGTATATTGAATACCCATACAAGAAACCGCAAGAACGAAACTTGTAATCATTATTCATTATGTGCTGAAATAACAGCCGATGCTGGAATTCTAAAAACTAAAATGAAATAAATTTTAAAACTGTATCACAAAGTTTTATTAAATTATTACAATAAAAACATCGTCATAATTATTTTATAATAACATTAATTTTATAATAACATAAACATAAGCTCACATGACAGCGATAGTATCAAAACGCTGTGCTGTAATATTATATTTCGAAAGAAATACAGAGCTAAACAAGCCTCATTTTACTAATATCCTAATACCTGAATTACAGTCCGTACTAAAGAATGGGATTAGGAATGGCGATTCATCGAGCTCGTAGCGTCAATAAGCAAATTACGAATAGCGAAAACCCGCAAATAACGCGCCAACGTTATTTATTCGATTAATTGAAAATTTTCTATTAATGGGAAAATATTCGACAAGTATTGTAACCCAAGTAGGTACATTAATTTTAAAATAACATTTATAACTAGCGACCGGCGATCTATTATTGTGGCGTTATGTAGACTTAATATAGTCACTAAAGACCGTCTATTTTAATATAGTTTCTAAATATTTCGGATAAAATTTAGTCTAGTTCACTTCTGGTATTACTCTCTATTTGATAAGCTCGGACAAACGAAAATTTTAAAAATGGTTACTTATGTCTCAAGGATATGTAGATATTTTATTCAAAAATATTAACAAACAAAATCAACAATAATTATGAAGAAACAGAACGCGTCGTAGCTCATAAATTAGCGAAATCGGACTGATTTTTTTGTAGTTTATGGCATTTTGTTATCATTGATTCCAATGACAATTTGAACCGAAGTTATAGAACGTACGAAAAACGGATATCGCAACCTATTTTTTTGCAGTCTTTACCGGCGGGTAAGAGTATAGAATAGCGACAGTGTGCGAGCGAGAGGAGAACAGAGGCGACACCATTTTCAATCCCATTCTTTAACCGCACGGATAGGACTTTGACCATCTTACATTCGTCAAGTGTTGATAGTCACGTAATACTAAAAACAGTATATAAAATAAAAACAAATCTGACTAATACATATAAATTAAAATCATACGTTATTACCCAACTGCCACAGAAGGAGGGAAATGTTTTTTGAAAGTATTCATGTAAGTACATATATGTATGTACTTATATGCATATTTCTCTGGCACACTATAGCCTTGATGGATTTAAACATATGAGGTGTCGTTAGATTCGTTTTAATTTTGGAAGCGACATAAGCTATAGACACTGCATCTGCAAATCCAAAGAGGAAGGTTCTTTTTAGTAAATTTTTTAACGCAGTCGGGTTTTAACCACTACTCTTGTGTGGCAATAATACAAAGCATCGTTATATAGCTTCGTCTAAAAACATTTTCTTATAATTAAGGAGGCGTTTATTCATATCATTTTTTAACATCAGTAATATGAGCAAATCTACAAAATTAAAAGAAGATAACATTTTTATTTTAATTAGCAACTATTAATTAAATGGGGAAACTTAATGTGTGCAGTGTTGCAAATTAACGCTATGCAAGATAAAATGGAACTTAATAGAATAATTTCATATCTTAATCATAATAATAAGCAAATAATATAGTGACTAGCGCCCCTATTTATTGATTTTATCAAATAAATCATACATATAAAATCTACTTTTGGTTTTTATTACAACATTCAGTTTCTTTTTTGCTAATAGCGCGTTTCACTGCTTAGCCCTAAGGTAGTTTTTGACTGGTCGGTATGACCGGAGTGAACGAAGTGTGGAAGCTTCATACAAGCGTTTCCTAACGCACAAACTCTAGTGCGAGGTCCACCTACAGCCGTAGAGCAGACACAGAAAATAACCGCCCACACCGGCTTCACGTTCAGAAATCACAGTAGCCGAAACACATCCCGCTCAGAGTATTTTAATTACACTATAATTTTCTATGCATATTTATATTTTTAAAGTTTAGACTGTTATGGGCTTAAAATGTATATAGTGTATGATTAATGATGAGAGATCTAAGGAATATGTTGTAAGTAATGGCGCAAACATTGCACATTAATTTTGGTGGGTGGCACAGAGCATAGGAAGAAAGAGAAACAGTAGCAAGCGTGACGCGCAACTCCTTTTAACTTTATAAAGGAAAAAAAAAATAGAAACTAGTTTTACATCAGTCGCAGTTGCAGCGTCATCACGATAAAATGTTACAATTACATGCAAAAAGAGCAATACCGCTCTGGACTATTAAAGAACTATATTATTTAAAGAGTGATAAATGAATTTGATTTCTGCCTAGAACATGAAAAAAGATATCCGGGTGGCGTTTTTTTTATTTTTAACTCCTAGGAACAAAACTAGGAACCTTGAAATTACTGAAATTGCTCAATTATACCGCGGAGACATCCACCACCACCCTAATATCCCAGTGCCACCTGTCGGCTGCCAAATAGCAATGCTTGTATTGCTGTTTTCCGGTCTGAATATGGAGTTCCGGTATAATTACAGGCTGCGAGCCATTTCATCTTTGTCCTCAGGGGTGACAACGTATCTGCACCTTTTTAAAGTTACCTTTATATTGCAATCAAAAATATCAAAAAATAAAAGATACAGACATACCCTCAATTTTTTTTAATATTATTCATGAAAAATAATTAAAATTGGACTCTTACGAACTGTTGATGATGGTAATAATGATTATGATGCCATCATCATTACCATCATACAAAAACTTTTAAGTTAATGACAGTTATCAAGCCGACCTGTGAATGTACTACTCAACTGCTATATGATTAAAAAGCGATATACTTAGGTTTTAATAGAAAACAATATTTTAGTGTACTTATTTCTCTTTCATTCCTTATTCTGTGGTTGCCAAGCCAAGATAGTAAATTAGTAAAAAATTAAGTTAAACAGGAACAATGTTTAAACCAACAGCTTATAAATCTTAGTAAATAACAAATTATTTAATTACAGTTATTTACTCAATTAGCGAGTATTTTTTATAAGCATAAGTGTTGATTTATGACAAAATTTTGTTGAAAAGTACTTGTTAATGTCAAATTGTTGAATTTTTTCTTTAAAATAAAGAAATATATTGCTATATAACCACTACAATCACTGTTTTAAATTAACATGAATTACCTATCTGTATATTTATGAAATTATACCGGATTCCAATATACAATAAAAATTTACATGTCTAAACAAGTTTCGGTTTCGGCCGAAACTAACACCTAGACCGAAGTTTCTTTTTCGGTTGTAAATCCTGTTTCGGTCGGACACCATTATTAATAAAAAATACTAGCAGTGTTTTTAACACTACTCTCAGTAATACTCCTTTTTACCATAGCAACTAAACTTAAATGCTTGTGCTAAGAGTGGGTCACGACAGTAGTCGAATGGCGGATATGAACTCACGACTTTTGAGATCCGCGGATCCGTATTTAATTGCAATTTTAAAATATAATTAAATTTTTAGGGGTCCTTCTTAGGCCATCATCATATGACACTATTTAATATTTAAATTTATATACACATTTCATCACTATTAAGAATTAATTACAAATAAGGTAAAGTTTAATAATGAAAAATTTGTCATTGGTTTTGGTGTTAAGTATAGTTGTAATTTGTCATATAAATTTTTAGTAATCACTTAAATATTATAGTAGGGATAGTCATGGAATGACATTTTTGATGATATGTTATCAGGGTTTAACAATAAATAAACGTTTAGAATACAAAAATTAAATTATTCTAACGAATTTGGTATTACGCATAAGTATAACAAATTTACTTTTATTGTAGGTATTTTGTAATTATTTGTATTTCTTACCCAAATTAATTTAAATAAATACTTTTGACATGACTGATGCATATATGAATAGTTTGTTTAGACCAGTGCTTCCGTTCTAAATACAAAGGTTGCATCTCCGTTTCTTGTTGTTATGGCAGATATTGGGTTTTTACTATTTAGAAGCAATGGTATTTATTATCTTAACAGAAGGCATAATTTTTAATTTTGATCAGGATTCAGCAGCTTGTATAGGTGTGAAGTGGGATCAGCAAGGGCGTCCTCAGGCTCCCTGAGCTCCAGGGTTCGGCCACCGCCCATAACCAGAACGCGGTCGCATTCCAGCACGCCCGCAAGCCGATGCGCTATAAACACAACCGTGCTTCCACTAAATGAGCACCTGATCGTGTCCAGAATCAGTCTTTCAGCGTCTTGGTCAAGGTTCGCTGTTGCCTCGTCCACCAGTAATATCTGCAAATCAGTCAAAATCAAGTTAAAAGCTTAAGGCATCACTTTGGATGACTGACAGTACGCATTCGAAGAAGATCGGTAAATGGGGATAAGCGCACGAAAATGTAGTATCAGACTTTAAAAAATAGCCACCACATATGAATTGCAGGGCAGCGACAGCGTAGTGAACATTATACCTGAGTATCTCATCACTAAAGATATCTATTTGGATGCAATAGGTGATTTTGTTTTGTTTGTAGTATCTTCCTGATAGCAGAAACTGTACAAAAAAACTGCAGTTGCCAACTCGCTCGCCAAGCATGGCAACTATGGCAATATACCCCCCATGATGAGTCACGAAGAAACGGCCCCCAGTCCCCGGCGGCCCCGCTATTCCTGGCTACAGTGGCGACCATGGTAACGGCGGGGCAGGGAGTGCTAAGAATATCCGGTGGAGGTTCGGTTGCCACCTACGACGACTTGACCTGGCAACATTTAACTCACGCACCCTGAGGACTGACATTAAGATCCTGGAGCCGGAAGAAGAGATAGATAAGTTGCGCTGGAATATTATAGGATTATCCGAGGTCTGAAGAGAGGGGGAGGACACGAATCCAGCAACTTGTTCTATCACCGGGAGGGCGAACATCTGCCCCGAGGAGGTTTTCTTTTATGGAGGAGGGGGCAAACGAGCATGCGGCTCACCTGATGTTAAGTGACTACCGTCGCCCATGATCAATCGCAACACCAGGGGAATTGCAGGTGCGCTGCCGGC